GTTTCTGCTGTTGGGTGTGGCCTGTTATGCTAATGAGCTCCTGCTGGGCGTGGCCAACTCAGGAGCCAGCCGGAACTCCGTTCCTGTGCGTTCCTGCCCAAAAATAGCCCTGGATTTTGGCTTCTGTTCAAAGTTGGGAGAGATCCAATGCAGGTTTTTTCCCACAGTGTCAAGTTTCCCCGTGCCTGCACTTGTATTCCTCCGCTGTTTGCCCGTGTTTCCGCAGATGTTTCCGCAGTCCCAGGAGCAAAAACGCAGTTTGTTCCCTGTTCCTTTGCAGCATCAGACTTTCCTATTTCTGGGGATTCCCATGCTGCGCTGCAAGAGGGGTCAAACTGCGCTTTTGCTCCTGGGAGGGAGAAATCATCTGTGGAAACGAGGGAAAGCTGCGGATGAATAGAAGAGCAGGCGGGGGGGAAACTTGACATCGTGGAAAACGTCCCAGTTGCACTCATAGCCCCTATGAATGTCCTCCTTCCCCCCATATTTAGAAAGAACTATACTTATGTGCCTGTTTTCAAAGGCAATCATTGACTCTGCACCTCTCATTCGAATCCTGTTTTATGAGGCATCGTTAACTACAAAGAGGGGAGGTTGCTGGACCTCATTGCCTTGGAGGCACAGCTAACCAAGACATCGGCAAAATAAGCCGTCAAGCAGGAAACTCCTTGCCACCTCAAATTTTCGCAACACGCCCTTCCCCCCCCCCAAATTTTGTTCTCATCTCGGGATTTAACACCCCACCCAGCTCTTACCCTTCCCAGTCACCTCTGTGTCGAAACTACCCCCCACGGGTGTGTCTTGCAACATCACGGGGAAAACAACTAGACCCAGAGAAAGTTGCATGGGAGAACACGAGCAGGTCTTCCACACTCATAAGACTGTGGAGGGGCTGTGGCTTGATGGGTAGACCATATGCTTTGCACACAGAAGGTCCCAGGTTTGGTTCCAGGTCGCACCATTTAGAGTGTAATACTTAGCTAAGATTGTAGCTATTGTTTCAAGACGAGACGAGAGTGCTTTTGCACTGTGCCAAGTTTATGGTGTGTACCATCAAGCACAGCTGGCCACGCCTTCCATGGACTCACCTGCATATTATATTTTCCCTGGGGACATCCATTGTTTGACTTGAGAGCAGTGGAGTTCTGTGCTTCCCAGGTACAGGTGGCTTCAGTTCCGACCGGGAATACAGTGCATGGGGGAAAGGGAGCTTCAATCTTCCCTTGTGCCAGTTGCCTGGCCTGAAACAGTCCCAGGGAACCACTGGTTGCCCCATTAGGGGCTCCACATGTACTGAGGGCCTACACATTACATTTCCAAGTGGGGCAAGAAGCAACTCCCAGGGGCATCTCAGGTGAAGAAAATGGTATTGGGGGGTGGGGGGAGAAGAATCCTCTCGATGTGTGCCGTAGTCTCAGTACAAATTGGGACTGGATGCACTTGGAAATCACAGAACTCCAAAACATGTCTCTTGAGGGGACCCACAGACATCCCCAGGGGAAATGCAATGTGTTGTTGGGCCCTTTAAACTGAGTCATTGTTTTTGCTGTTCGGTCAGGGCCATCCCTTTCCAGCAGGCAAATCAGGCGGAGATTGATGGATTTCCTAGATCGACCCGGAAACCAAGGGGTATGTGTTACTCTAGAAATACCAATTGCTTTATGCGCATTAAGAAATAAGAAGAGCCCTGCTGGATCAGACCAGTGGTCCATCTAGTCCATCATCCTGCCTCGCACAGTGGTAGCCAAGTGAGCAGGCATAGACACTGGCGCTTCCTTAAGGAACAACACATCCCATGGTTCACCGAGGAGTTGTCTGCTAGTCAGGTTCATGCCGCTTAGTTACCAACCTCCTGGTGCAGCCTGGACTTCTACCAGAATTACAACTTATCTCCATAGTACAGACATCCATTGCTCTAGAGGAAATGGTTAGATAGATTCAAGTCCAGTAACACCAGAGGTCATTTCGGGGGGGAACGTGGGGGATCGCAGTTCCCCCGGG